ACTGGTAGAGGCGGAGCCGCGGAGGTACCCCATAAATAGGTTTTTCAGACTCTTTCCATGCAGCGCCCAGTTTAGATTGAATCTGTACTCCGTGTGGCGCTTCGTTCCCGTTTACAGTAGGATGACGCGTCGCTACGCCAGATCAAACCTCTGATTACGGATAAACATAAACTTCAACTCCTCACAAATGTTTTATAAATAAAAGTAAACCAGATACAGGTGAGAGAAAGCAGCGCACAGAAGACTTCCCGTCCACTGACCTGTGCAGGATTATCGGAGTGTAAGCTCCAGCGAGCATCCCCAACCCCCAATCCAAAGCTTCCATTTCCTGTTAGGTTTCAAATCAACAATACAACGTCACGCTGTACAGTCCGGGAGATGAGGAGAGGACGCTATAGGCTGACTGCTACTGCACTGGTCGTGGTATACGAGAGCCATATACACTGCGCTGTGCTGCGTTGTCTTATCGCCACCTTGCTGGAAAAGTTGAATCTGCTAATATTTTTCCTCCTTTTCCTCTTCATCAACAAAATGACATTTATAAATACATTCCTTATGTTCGTGCCCAATGACATTGCTGTGCCTCTGTGTGTGTATCTGTGAAATGCAGGCAGATCATTGGCTGGTGGGAGGGGCCAGCAGGGTGCTGTACATAGCTTCCTGAAAACCTCACACCACCCGGCCTCAGTACTCTTTTAAGGAGCCCTCAGCCCTGATGCAAGCAGTGGGTGGGCTCTTGGGAGGAGTCAAAATTCAGTGATGGGATGGGGTCTGTCTGGAGAAGTGGGTGGTCCTAGGCAGGCTGTATTTACATGGGTAACGGAGGTCAGCGAGGAGACTGTAGAGCAGGCCCGGAGGTCAGCGGGGAGACTGTAGGGCAGGCCCGGAGGTCGGCGGGGAGACTGTAGGGCAGGCCCGGAGGTCGGCGGGGAGACTGTAGGGCAGGCCCGGAGGTCGGCGGGGAGACTGTAGGGCAGGCCCGGAGGTCGGCGGGGAGACTGTAGGGCAGGCCCGGAGGTCGGCGGGGAGACTGTAGGGCAGGCCCGGAGGTCGGCGGGGAGACTGTAGGGCAGGCCCGGAGGTCGGCGGGGAGACTGTAGGGCAGGCCCGGAGGTCGGCGGGGAGACTGTAGGGCAGGCCCGGAGGTCGGCGGGGAGACTGTAGGGCAGGCCCGGAGGTCGGCGGGGAGACTGTAGGGCAGGCCCGGAGGTCGGCGGGGAGACTGTAGGGCAGGCCCGGAGGTCGGCGGGGAGACTGTAGGGCAGGCCCGGAGGTCGGCGGGGAGACTGTAGGGCAGGCCCGGAGGTCGGCGGGGAGACTGTAGGGCAGGCCCGGAGGTCGGCGGGGAGACTGTAGGGCAGGCCCGGAGGTCGGCGGGGAGACTGTAGGGCAGGCCCGGGGGTCAGATATATTTGTGTTTTGGCTGATCGATGGCAGACCTGGATCTGGCTAGCAGGCCCTGTGGGGGCCTATCGTATCATGTAAATTACAATGAAAATATTTGTTACCTTTTTGGTCTCTGATCTCCATTTTCTGAGGTTTGATCCATTTCCTGTTTCATTAGATCTTTTGTGTCACTTCTGTATATGAAGCAGAAGATAATGAGCGGTGAGGTATTCGTGTGAAAAATCTCTCAACATTAATTAGCCTAATTAAGAGGTCAGAGCTTTGCAAATACATTAGTGCCGTTTATATGCCGGCCCCGTCTCCTAGAATTAATTTCCTGCTACTTAATGTGGATCGTGTAATAACTTTAACCCTCAATAAATTCCCGACTTGTCACAATGTACAGCAACAGGAAGATTGTTCAGCAAATCATTTCAGATCAAAACCTGTCCTTGATCTCCAGTCAGTGACTCTGCCCGGGCTGAGATAATGCCATCAGTCTGCTGCAGGCCGGAGGAAGCATTTCCTCTGTGTCCCCGTCAGTGATCAGTCTGGAACATTGTAACACGTCACAAAGTGAGACAATGGCACTGCCCTAGATAGAAACCTTGATAAGGGAATGGTTAGGGGTGCTGCATTCTCTTTTAGAGGTGATGAGTAACTGGAAATGCTAAAATGATGCGTTGCGTGGCATTCCAGACTTAAAATATCTGACACTAGAGCCATATTAAAGGAAACCCTGAAATCCGGGTTCCACAAAGAGCAGACTGCCAATAGCAAAGGTAACAGGCCAATGATCAAGTTGAGTAGAAAGTTCTGAAAAAGTCCAGTGTTTTAGGCGCTCTTCGGCTGAAGATTGGGTGTCCTGTGCTGGGGTGCAGCTCCTGGTAGATCCGGATTGGGGTGTCCAACATACTAGGTGAGTTTGATACCTCGCACCTAGGGCCGGATTTACTGTCTCTGCTGCCCCAAGGCCAGGTTCCTCAATGCGCCCTCCCTAACCCCCATGAAGAGTGGCAGACCTGCAGACTGCATACAAGTGATCTCGGAGACATCGCTGAGATCACTTGTACATTTAGCTCTGCTTGCCCAAAACGGGGATAAATGTAGAAAACGGACCTGCCCGGCGCTTGGAACTGCATGTCCCGGGCATCGGAAGATAGGAATTCCACACCCCTGCTGCCCCTCTACTCCCTGCTGCCCCGAGGCCAGGCCTTGTTGGGAATCCAGCCCTGCTCACACCCCTCGCCATATCCCACCTGAGTAACTGCACTAGGTCGTGGCGCTTCGTTCTCTCCTTTTTGTTTTCCCAATGATCAAGTGAAACGCGGACAAGTTGATTACAAACAGTGAAAATAGTTCACAGGGAAATCCAAGGCATAGACATATTGAAGTCAGAGACAGAGACCTCTATCATGGCTTCTGTTGCTGAGGTACCAGCTTGATATTCTGGCCTCCTTTAAAGTCCACTAACCAGGGCCATGTGTGCATGACAGATACCTAAAATGCAGTGCTAGGGAAAGACCAGCAGATGGCGAAAGCTCAAGACTAATGGTTAGTGTATTGACCCCGGTGGATAAGTACGCAGGGTCTGCAGCCAGAGTAAGAGATGAAATGGAAGTGTGCTGGCAAAATGGTTTTCAAAGGGACTTTTCATGTCCTGCTCACATACATTGTATAAAGGCTTCGAGATATTGGGGCGGGGGAGGGGTATACAGACATTTGTAATGTGCTGGACTGCAGGGGGTGCAGACTGATCCACATCCATTATGTCTTTTTTTTCTCATTAGATGTCCAGTTTGCTCCCACACAGTTATCCGTTTATTATCTCGGCAGTTTCTTTTTTTTTCCCATTTGCGGTGAATTTGTAAACCTATGGAAAGGTAGACATTCACACCTCATTCCCCCCCAGTGAACATGATTAGTGCAGATGTCTTAATCTGCAACAATCACCGCCATTTATCTCTTCTTTCCTCTGGACCGTAAGCTGCTCCATCTGTCCACATGATCTTCCCCTCTAATCCCGTCTGCTGCATGGAGTATACCTTCTT